GCTCCTCCGGTGACCCCGAATGCTCAGAAAGCCGGAAATCCGTCTACTGCCGGAACACAGCTGACAGAACAGGGACAGTCGATGGGGAGCAGTGGTGCGGGCAGTGACGGTGCATCCGCATCAGCGGTGTCCACTGTCAGTACTCCCTCAGCAGAAGAGGAGTCCGTGGTGCAGGTGACGTCAGGAACATCTCCCGACGGAACTCAAACTGTGGGTGGCGGTTCTACTGCTGATGGCGAGCCAACGATGGAGACAAGAGAAGGAGGAACGAATGGGCAGGAGGAAGAGGTTAATACACAGGACAGGGAGGTGAATGCCACGGCACTCGGCAGCAACCTCGGAAATGTGCCCCAGGGGAATAACAGCGATGCTGGCGCTGTGCGTGAGAGCGGAATGGTGCCATCGCTGCTTCTTCTGCTGTTGGGACTGTGGGGACTTGCGGCTCTGTGAGGAGTGACTGGCTGCCGCGTGGAACACTTGCACCCCCCGCTGCACCGACACACACACCTGTTAATGAATTTATTTTCACAAATAACTTTTATTTACTTCTCTCCCTGTTTGCTTTGCTGTGCGTTTTTAAGTTTTTTTGTGTTGCGCGACTCTATGTGTGTGTCTTTTTTCAAAATTCTTTTTTTTTATTATCTCTTACTTCCCCATTCCTCCTTTTTTGCTTTTGGGGCAGTCAATATGGACGTTTTTCTTTTCTACTCTTCCCTCTTTTAATTGTTTTTTGCTGCACTCTTCCTGCGAGGAGTGCCGTGTGTTTGCCGCCCAACTGCTCCACTCGCACACCCACCGACACGCTCATGACGACGGCCCTGTGCGACTCGCCTGCTGCACGCATGAGGAGGGGCCGCGACGAACGGCGCGCTGAGGGAGCCGTGACGTGTGGGCGTGCGACGAGGGCCTGTGGGGCGGAGCACACATTTCTTTCCCTCCTGTTTTGTTTTCTTGCGGCCAGGGCTGGCAGACACCCGCAGCGCCACACACACACAGCCACACCCTGCCGCCGTGTTTCTCTTTAAAGTAATGTTTTTGCTTTGCGTGTGCATTTCTCGCGCCGGCAGTCCCTTCGGTGTCGGCCTCGTGAGCATTTCTTTTCCCCTCTGATGATTTTTTCTTTTGCTGCGCTCACTCTCCCGATGGAGTGACGCGACTCCCGTCGTGTCTGCGTGCTTCTCTCAGTCCCCACGCACACGAGTGACTGTGCTCTGCGGGCCGCACTCGCACGCCGATGAGAGGGCTGAGGGGAGCAGCAACACGCAGATGACCCCATGAAATATAAACGATGCGCGGACACGCAGAGGGTCGGACGGTTGAAAGACATTTAAATATCTTTTAATTTTCTTTTGCGGGCAAAATAAATGCGGACAGTTTGGTGTGGCCACACGGCAGCCGGCTGCTTTTTAAATTTGTGTGGAACAGTAATGGACGGTTTCTTTTTTTTATTTATAATTATTTTGTGTGATGGGGTTTACATAAGACGAATGGGAATGTTGTTTTAAATCTTTTGTGAATTGCCATTGCTTGGGCTGCAGTGCAGTCATGAGTTTGAGCGGTCTTCTTCTTGTTGTTTCCGCCACGCATCTCCGCTGTACATTTTTGTGCGTCCCTCCACATACTCTGGTCGCTGTTTTTTTGTTTTGTTTTGTGTTGCTGCAGGCACACAACCACACAACCACAAGATGCACATTGCGGTGGATTTGAATGCTCCTTTTGCGGTGCATGCTGGCAGTTGCGTGTGGCGGTTGTTGTCTTCTTCCGTGGGCATGAGAAGGGAGGGGGAGGGAGTGCGCAGCCCGAGTCTCCTTTTCCTGCGGGTGTGATGCACCGCGTGCGACTGCGTTGAGTTGGGCTCCGTTTCTCGTTGAGGGCGGGATGGCTGGAAATTTTGGTGCCGCGTGATGGATGGATGAGGGTTTCTTTGCTGTGCGTTGTGGGTGCTCGCTCCGGGTGCGTTGTGAGGTGGCCGCGGCGTTTTTGCTGTTTCCCTTTGGCTGTGGAGATGAGCTGTGGGGAGATGGTGGTGGATGTCTTCTCCTCCTGCATGGTGGGTGGATGCTGGCGTTGTGTGCCTTCCTTGCGTGGATGCCGTCTCGTGGTGTGTGAACTGTGCGGCTGGGCCTGCTGCCCCCTCCTCATGTTGTCTGCTCTCCCGCTGTATCCGCTGTGCTCCGTCCCTCTCTCTCTTGTTGCATTCCTTTCCTTCTGCCTCACCGATCAGCTCACTGACTCCAGCGACTCCACTACGCGTGACGATGACTGCGATGGTGACGATGGTGACGGTGCGGCGCCATGTTGGTCCTTGCGCTCTTGTGCTGCTGCTTCTCGTCCGTGTGTGTGGCGGCGGCTGGGAGTGCTGGAGATGTATCTGGTGATGCGGATGCGGTGGTTGTGCCGGTGGATGTGTCGTGTGCTCCGAGTGACGGCAGCCTGAGCTATCGCGTGTGTGTGTGTGTGTGGGCGTGGACGAAGTGTTCTGCTGCCATTGCTGAGGCTCAGTAGGAGAATTACACTTTCAGTGGCTTTGGTGTGCGCATGCGTAGCAGGAATGGTGAGCTGGGTGCTGTGTGCCATGTGGCCCATGCGGTGCACACATGTAGCAACTGTGCTGCCAGCTGTGCAGCGGAAGAGGAAGGGGCCACCGTTGCCTCCACGATGAATGTGACGACACATAAATACGCCGGCCCTTATGAATTGTGGTGGCGTCAATTTCCTCCCGATGGAACCATCCATCCGCCTGCACGGAGCGGCGATGCTGACCGGACGGGCATCTGTCAGTTGCCGCCACCCCGTGAAGGGAAGGATGACACAAAATCTGGTGGGACAACTGCGCCGCAAGTCAATGCTGAGCCGTCACGTCAACACGAGGATCGGCGACGGTCTGCGGCGGCTGACGGACCCAACACCGTCGATCGGAGTCCCGCATCCAACACGGCGACCAACACGTCCGAGACGAGGCCTGAGTTTGCCAGCAATCCGAGCGAAGTGATGGTCCCGAATGCATCCACGAAGAGGCCTTCCTTCGCCAACGGTCCGAGAGTAGTAGTGGCGTCGAATGCATCCGGGATCGTGTCTGTCACTTATGGCGGCAGGGAACACGTTGCTGCGGATAACACGGACGAGGTGAGTGAGCGCAGCGCCACTGGACACAAATCTCTCGTTTTAGAAAGTGGCGTTGCAGGCAGTGGATTTGTTGCTGAGGGTGATGCGGGCGGATTGACTCAACGCAATGCCTCTGGACACGAGAGCAAACCCTATTACGAGAATTCACCGCGCAGTATTCCGGAAGCGGTGTGAGTCTACACGACTGCTTTTCCCCGCTCAACGACGCGAAATTGACACTGCGAGAGTTAACTGTTGGCAGCACTGTGCGTGTGTGCGTGTATTGGGTGTTGCTGCTTCTTCTGGGATTGTGTGGAGTTGTGGCGGTATTGTGAGCCGAAGAGTGTGGCATTGCGACTCCTCGCGGAGAGCATGTGCCGCGTTCCCTGCGTGTTTTCTTTTATTATTTACATTTCACTGTTGGCTTTGTTGCCTTCCTGGAATGATAAGCATCCTTGCTGTTCCTTTATTTAATGGTCGGTTGCTGCACACTGTCATGGGTGACGTGCTTCTCCTCTTGTTTTTTGTTGCCCACACGCGGTGCCGGCCTCATTGCTGTGCGTCCCACGGACTGCACGAAAGGAGGATTGGAGGAACAGGCCGGATGCCGCAATGAAATGTGAGGAGAGTGTTGTGTAGGCTGGTGGAAGAGTACGATCTTTTTTTTTTCTTACTTTCCGTTTCTTGTGCGGGAAAAATGTATGCACCCGGTCGTTTTTATTGCGTTGCGTGGCGCATGAAATAAAATTACGACCTAATCTATTTTCCTAATTGTTTCTTTTGAGGGTCATGCCGGACTCTCACTTTTTCCTTTTATTTGGTAACTCACTGCAGCGTGCTTCCATTGTTACCGTATCCACTGTCACTGTGTGTCTACTTGTCCCGTTGACTGTACCTCTGCTGTCTGCGCTGTTGAAATGCCCCCACTTCCTCTTTTCTGCCAGTGGCACCGATGGTCCGCGACGGCGATTGTTTCTGTTCCCCGTTACGACGGTACGAGGGTGACTGGGCGGCGGCCTGCTGAGTGCACATGGAGGGAGCGGACTGTGTGCGCCGTGCCTCACTGCGAGTGTGGGACGCAACGCCAATCCACGGTGTGGAGAGAAGTAAAGGACTGCGGCGTGGATTTGGTGACGCCCCGTCCCTTTTTCCCTGCTTTTGTGTGTGTGCTGGGCGCATAGCTGTTACTTGCGGTGCGACGTGAACGGCGTTGCTGCATATGCTTTATGCATGTGCTGTGCAGCGGGCTTCTCTTCCACATGACACCGCCCTTGTGTGCGGGACAGTGAAGGGAGTGGAGATTTGTGAGGGAGTGAGGGTGGCCGTTGTTTCCGTACATTTGGATCTTCAGACACGTGGCACCACTCGGTCGCCTCTCGCAGTTCCCAGGCCGTGGATTGAGAGGGTGTGAGGGTCTGCTCCAAGCAGAAGGACGACAACGAGATGCAGTGCATGACGGCCAACCTGACTGGTGTGTGGTTGCAGCGCATGGAGCACGTGCGCCAGTACGCGTTGGGCGTTGCGCTCATGATTGGGGAGGAGGGGCGGCACGACGTTGCGGCGCAGCGGGAGCGCATGACGGACTGCCCGTGCTGTGAGGGGCGCGTGTTGGAGTGAGCGTGGCGTGCCTGTGAGGGACTGAGGAGAGAGGGAATAACAGTAATGGTGACTGTGGGAGTGTGAGGAACGGTGCACGGGCGAGGAGCGCTCCTCTTTTGTTTTTTGATTTGATTGTTGTTGAACCGCGCCCGCCTAATTGTTGTCTGGTGGTGTGTGTGACTCTCATTGCTGGATGGGACGGTGCGTGGTTGAATGACTCGTCTCTCCTTTTGCTTTCACTCTGCGTTGACGGGGAGTTAGTTTGTGCTGAAGGCTGCAGGCAAGTGACAGGAGTGATGGCGATGATGATGACTGGCCGTGTGCTGCTGGTGTGTGCCCTCTGCGTGCTGTGGTGCGTTGCCGGCGGTGTTTATGCGAGGGACGTTGACACCAACGCACTGGGTGGCTGCATGGCGTCGGGAGTGTTGGGTGAGAATGGATCCCACATGCCTGACGGATGTAATAAAACTGCGATTACGGTGCCCTTGCGGTCAATGCTGCCCATTGCTGCCGTTGAAGCTTCGGCTGGAGAAGGTGGTTCTGCTGGTGGTAGACAGAACAGTTCGAATTCAAGGGAGACTTCCGACGCTGGTGCTAATGGTTCCGCTGGTGGTTCTCCTGGTGGTGGTCCTGCTGGTGGACCTGGTGGTTCTGGCTCTCCTGCTGGAGGTTCTGGTGCCGAGGCCCCTGCTTCTGCTGCCGGTGGAAGCGGTGGAGGCGATGGTTCTGGAGGAAGCGGTGGAACTCCTACTGGAGGTCGTGGCACCGGTGGCATTCCTTCTGGTCCTGCTTCCGGTGCTCCTCCTCCTGCTCCTCCTCTCGCTCCTGCTGCTGTTGTTGCTACTCCAGCTAGCGGCAGTGGTGGTACAGCGGGGTCCTCGGGCACTAATTCATCTAACACAACAGGGGACTCTTCAACAGGAGATCAGACGCCTGCTGCAGCAGCGGCTAACGACACCTCGCCACCCGAAGGACCGGCAGCGACGACATCCGACACTGGACTCAAAGGACAGGAAAAAGAAGAAGAAGAAGAAGATCATGAAAAGCAGCAGCAAAGTGATGAAACACAAGTCCAACAACATCAACCGCATGGATATTCCACGGACGATGGCGAAGAATCCGCGAAAGATAAAAACGCCCTTCGTACAAATGCCACCGCAAATACAGGCGACAGTGACGGCAGCACCGCGGTCTCCCACACCACCTCCCCTCTTTTGCTTCTTCTTCTTGTTGTTGCGTGTGTGGCTGCTACTGCGGTGGTGGCCGCGTGAGAGTGAGGGAGAGAGAGCCGTGCAGCGCCCGCACACACACTCGTCCTTCTCTCTCTCTGTGTGTGTCCCCTTGCATGGACTCTCGCCCTCACCTCACCCCACGAGGCACACACATAATGTGCCCATTGTATATATGCATGCACACCCATGCAGGCCCGTTGGTGCCCTCTTTTGCATCACACGCACCGCTGCCGTCCTGCCTGGCTGCATGGGCGGAGCACCGTAACTGTTTCTGTTTTGTTTTTATTGCATTGAGTGGGCGACCTCTCTCTCTCTCCCTGTGTGTGTGTGTGTTGCTTTACGGGAGTAATGAGAGTGTGTGTGCGCTGGTCGTCCCACGCTTTTTCCTTCTTGTTTTGTTTTACTTGTAAATTTAATTTTTTTTCCTGCTTGGTTTAAATTTTTTGCTAGTCTTTTTTTGTTATTAATTTGTCCGTTTTTTTTTTATTACTGACCCCCCCATCTTTCTTTTTGCTTTTGGGGCAGTCAATATGGACGTTTTTCTTTTCTACTCTTCCCTCTTTTAATTGTTTGTTGCTGCGCTCTTCCTGCGAGGAGTGCCGTGTGTTTCCGCCCAACTGCTCCACTCGCACACCCACCGACACGCTCATGACGACGGCCCTGTGCGCCTCGCCTGCTGCACGCATGAGGAGGGGCCGCGACGAACGGCGCGCTGAGGGAGCCGTGACGTGTGGGCGTGCGACGAGGGCCTGTGGGGCGGAGCACACATTTCTTCCCTCTTGTTTTGTTTTGTTTGCGGCCAGGGCTGGCAGACACCCGCAGCGCCACACACACAGCCACACCCTGCCGCCGTGTTTTTCTTTTCGTTTTTCTTTTCTTTTCTCTGGTTGGGCGTGTGCTGCCACCGTGCGTGATTGTTGGGGTTGGGCCGTGCCGCATGTATCGCTGCCATCCAGCTGTGCCTCTTGCTGTGTTGATGTGCCTCCCTGTGCTTCTCTTTGCAGCTTCTCCAGCACACACGCAAATGAGTATTTCCACAGTGCTCTGCAGGAATGTTTTTGGTAACGAGGGACGTTGGCTGACGTTCCGTGCTGAAATGATGACGCGGCTGCACGATGCCCGCCATGAAGGTGTTGCCTGCTCTTGGGGTCATTCTTTTATCACCTTTTTGTTTTTGCTCTGCTGGTTGCGGTCGTTGCCGTTTTTGTGCTGACGCGTGACGGACGGTGCCACGATGGCCTTTTCCGGCGACAACAGTCGCTGTGCTCTCGACACACATCCACACACTCTTCCCTGTCTCTCTGTGGGAGTGATTGCAGCAGGAGCGTGATCTACGGCAGCGGCAGCTGGTGCTGCGGAGAAGGTCGAGGCGCCGAAGGAGCAGAAGAGGCCGAACCTGCTGGACGAGATTACGATGGCGGATGAAAGCTTTTGACGGTCTTTTATCGGCTTTCTTCAGGAGTGCGGCGTGTCGCTGCCTGACGGGATGCCTGCACTCGGCACCCTTCGAGGCATTGTGTTGTTTCATTCAGGGTGATGTCACAATTATCATGGCAGCACCTTCCCTCACCGGCTCTGAGTGTGACAATACGAATGACGACAAAAATAACGATGAGGACTATGGTGACGACTTGCACCGAGGGGCGGATTATTTGCGTGTCTTGGTACACGAATCTCGGGAGGGTTTGAATGCCGTCCCCACAATTCCCGGCCTTGCGGAACCGTTGGCTTTCGCGCTGTCACCCGCCATAATTAGTGCCCCATGCGTTGAGGCTGATCCATTTGTCGTGGAGTTCACGCAGCAGCTCTCGAGTGGTTGTGCCGCTGATCCCGCGTTGGCCCTTTCGCATGTATCTCAGCGTTGCCTGGCGTGCGATTTGATGTCTGTGTTGTCCAGGCCGCCGCCTCCAGTTTTCTTTTTGTGCCCAATAAGAAACACTTTGCGTTGCGGTGGGTATTTGTTTGCGTAGCCGTCGACGCGCGTGACGATGCTCAACGTGTGTGTCTTTTGTTTGGCGGGCACGAGGGAGACTTCGGTGTGTGCCGACACCTCCGCGAAAGTCTTCGTTGACGGATCGAGGCGAAAATAAGGGAGTTCTGTCCGCTGCATCTCTCAAGGCAGCTGCGGGGCACTCCGGAAGCACAGAGTGGATGGATGGATGCCGCGCAGCTGGGGAGACCAGTTGTCTTCTCCGCCCTCCGTTGCCAGGGGAATCGAGAATCCACAGCGTCATTGCCAGCTGCATTTTACTGCTGGGAATCGACTGTCCTGAAGTTGTCCGTCTAATGTGAATAGCAGCGTCAGTGCAGGAAGACGCTTTCACGCATTGCGAGTAGCTGCTCCAGCCTCGAGCTCATCAATATTCACGGCAGGGAGCAATGCATTGTGGTGGCCGGTGACGTTCAGGCGAGTGTGTTTCACTTCACCCGCCTCGTATTTGTGAGGGACACTGCGCATCGACCCTCCCCAACAGTCTTACCACCTTCACTTCCCCCGCCGACCGCTGCCCTCTGCTGACGGTACAGTTGCTTGGCTCCGCCAATAATGCGCTTGTGAAAAAAGTCCTCTCCGCTCGCTGCAGGATTATTGTTTTTGTTTTTGGCGGTGCAATAACTCCAGTGGCACCGCAACTGTGTGCAACACAAACTAATCTTCGCAGTGGACCTTATTTTTCTGCATTATTGCTGTCGTGATCCTGTCATTGTGTACTTGGTGCAATTTTGTGGGGTTGAGCCAGTGCAGCCGTTGGATGTCCGGCTCGCTTTTGCTTTGGTCGCTTTGGGTCTCAGGGAGAACAAGTTCAAGTCGTTTCACGTTCAGAACGGTGGAGACACTGCCGTGAGCAACTTTTCGGAGTATTATGGGCTGGTGGAGGAAGTGAGAGGAGGCGAGGGAGGAACTGGTGGCAGCAGTCGGCGTGTCTCTTCTCCCAGGGGGATGGGGACGCGTGGAGCAGAAACAACATCACTCCCGCCAACAACAATTCGACGTTTTGTGAGGGTGATGGAGGGTACGACAGATATGCCTGTTGCTGCACTCTTCGTGTGACCGACGGATTGCGGCTGGTGGATGGCCGCCCTTCAACAAAAGTGCCGGAAGAACGGTGTACGTCAGGTGTATTCAAGACGAAAGGCCTCTGGCCGATTGACGGCGTTGTGAGCGATGCGGTGCTGCCGTGGTGTTTTTTGCTTTTTTGCCTTATAAAAGCGTTTTTATGTCTTCTCCCTTTTGCCAGTTCGTTTTTGCCGTGGAGGAGTTGATGGCATATGGTGCGGGTGTGGCGTCGACAGAGTCATCCACGCTTTGTCTTAGAAACATGACTTTGAGTCGTGTCAGTCACGCTGTGTTTTCCCTTTATTGCTGGGAGTCTTGTGGGTGTGCTTGAGCCCTTTTTCTCCAATTTGTTTGCTGAAACGATCAAATGCTCCGCCGCAGCACATCGCCGTTTTTCCATGGCGGTGAATTGAGCAGATGCCGGGGGAATTTCAGGCGGAGCAAACCGAAGTTTGCCTCACTTGCTGCTGACGCAGAGTCCGTTACTGAGGGAACACAATACGGAGGCGGACTGCCAGCGGAGCCTCGCGTGGTGGCGCGCATTTCTCTCATTGGCGGGGTGACAGCCGAGCCTTCCAATCAGCTGGACTCTGATATTCTGCTGCACCCGATGGTACACGGTATCGCCATGGCAGAGCAGCCGTCTGACTCTCTTGTTGACATCATGGCTTGGAGAGTGGGAGTTTCTCTCCCATTGTACCCAACAGAGCCGGCACTGGCGCGTTGCTGTTGTGTTGATGACGACGCTGTGACGGAGGGAATAGCGGTTGTGTATTCACGATGAAACCTACCGGAGACGTATTCATCGCGTGCGTTTCCCGCCTCAGCACGCGGTGGGTGGCGGTCCCTTGACGATTTTTGTGGACGGGCTGTTTAACCGCGGCCTTTAGTGAATGGAGTCTTTGTGTAAGATGATGCGTTCCGCGTGCAGCACAACCGATGCCCCCAGTACTCCTTGGAGGAGTGTAGGCGAATCCTGCAGGAATTGATGAGGGACGGCCTGCCTGTGGTGTGGCATGAGGCAAGTAACCGTCGTTTGGCGCACTCAAGCAGCATCCCCTATAATGCGCCTATCCGCTGTGACTTGCATGGACACATGCAGACCGTCCACATTCTCTTGGAATCGCGGCATGCACGTTGGGGCCTTGCCGAGTCTCCCCAATACCGTGAGTCTTTTTTTTTTGAATGTGCCATCGCCAGAGAGCGAGATAACCCTGGCCAAGTTGGTTTTACTTCTCCAGGGATGAGACAGTCAAATATTTGATTCCTGTGTGCGGTACGTTGCTCTACCCTGCCCTCTGCACTGTTGCCTCTCTGACGAAATTATTGACCCATCTTTTCCACCGAGAAAGAGAGTGTTGGCTCCGAATACCGTTTATCTGTGGACGCGACTCTGCAGTCGTACGTGCCATATCTTCCACGCGTATTTCTGAGGGTACGCGTCATTGATCTGGACGCCAACAACGCCATCGTATCCTCCTATGCGACACTCTTGCACCGTTGTTGTTGTCGTCACGGTAATTTTGTTTTTCCCAGACGGGAGTGCGATGCGTTTTGTTTCTCACTTGTACGCTGTGCTGACTCCCACTGTGGGCGCTGAGAGCGTGCAGCGGAACGATGGCAAGCTTGCAGAAACTGCCTCGCGTAAAAATTGGAGGGCCGTTTGTTGTGCAACTAAGGGGGAGATGATTGTGGTTCTCTCCTCCTTCTAGTTTATGTTGGCTGCTCTGTCGTTGTGTGTGTGTGTGTTTCTTGCGTGGATCCCGTTTTGCAGTGCGTGCAGTGTGCGAGTCGTGCCTGCCGCGGGAGGTCGCTTCATTGCCGCGCACGCAACGGCGACGCCGGGACGATGTGTGTGTGTGTATATTTTTGCTGCACCTCTTTGTATTTTTCTTTTGACTTTCTATTCTCCGCTCTGTGCGCAGATCTGCTCGCCGACTTCAGCCACTCTACTACTACTGCTGCTGCTCGCACGTGTACGCGA